CGTGTGACCAGAATGTCGAGAAACGGAAGAGAATTGCAAGTCTCAAGTTCAAAAGTGAACTGAATAGCAGATCAACAAATTCATTGTTGAAGAACTCTATTTAAATCATCTTTATTACCTTCAAACAGGGTAAAAGTATCGTCTACGTAGCGGAACCATGCCCGGGAAGTTTAAAAGTTTCAAACAATTTTGATTCATAATAATGCATGTAGATATCAGCCAGGATGGGACTGAGGGGCTTCCCATGGCTATCCCTCAGTTTGCTTGTAATATTATTTTGGAAAACAAAATGTGTTTTGTATTCAACAGAGTTGAGTGAGAGAAATTAGCTCATCAATTTCGATGCAGAGAAATGAAATTCGCGAAGTCCTGTTTTTTCTAGACATCTTAATGCACCCTCCACTGGGACATTGGTGAATAATGATTTTACATCAAAAGAAAAAGGTTGTAAAAAAGGTTAAAAACATTTCTCCTCGTAATTTACTCATGGTTTCTTTTGATGTAAAATCATTATTCACCAATGTCCCAGGAGGGTGCATTAAGATGTCTAGAACCAGACTTCGCGAATTTCATTTCTCTTGCATCGAAATTGATGAGCTAATTTCTCTCACTCAACCTTTGATACAAACACATTTTGTTTTCCAAAATAAATATAAGCAACTGGGGATTAGCCATGGAGCCCCCCAGTCCCATCCGGCTGATATCTCTACATGCATTATTATGAATCAAAATTGTTTGAAACTTTAAACTTCCCGGCATGGTTCCGCTACGTAGACGATACTTTTTACCCTGTTTGAAGGTAATAAAGATGATTTAAATAGAGTTCTTTCAACATGAATTCTATGATCCTGCTATCATTCACTTTTGAACTTGAGACTTGCAATTCTCTTCCGTTTCTCGACATTCTGGTCACACGTACACATCCAACTTCAGTACTACAGTTTACCGTAAACCTCATCGGTTGCCTTCCCCACACTTAAATCATGTCATCCGACTAACAAAAGTTAGCTTCATTTTATTCCTATGTTTCCGTGCTCTTCAAGTTGCTCCTCCAAACTGCCCTTGATGAAGACTAAATTATTTAAAAGCATAGCTTATTGACAGGGGCTTTTCACCCAACATTATTAATCAAGCAGTTAAAAAATTCTCATCTCAACACACTAAAAGCCCCACTCTTATTTTAGGAGATTATAAAAATTCTGTTGTCATTCCCTTCTTTCCATCAATTAGCTATAAAGTTTGCACATATTTTGCAGAAATTTAACTTTCGGGTTGTTTACTCTCCCATCAATAAAATTCCAACTTCTATACTCAAGGACCCCATTCCGGATATGAATTCCTGGGGTATTTATAGGATTCCTTGCCAGTGCGGTTTAATTTACATTGGCCAAACTAAGAGAGCCTTAAAATTTCGCGTCAAAGAACATGAGGCATATGTTAGAAAAAAGGAAACACAGAAGTCTTCTGTTGGCTCAACATTGTTGGTCCGAAAATCACACTTTCAATTTTTCTGCTGCCAAAATTATTCAAAAACATCTTCCATTGGAGAACTGGATTTTCTAGAGGCATTTCACATTCATAAAAATCTTTCTGTTTAGTTAACGATCCTAATTCCAATCCAATTTGCCTTCGGCTTTTAGAGAAATTATGTTTTAGTTCTGGTTTCGCCAACAGATGGCGCCACTTGCTTATTCTTGTCCAGGCTTTCTTATCTTATCTAAACATTATTTCCTATCTTGTTCATTTGCGGTTTTGCAGCTGAAGATGATGGTTCGGTAAAACCATCGAAACTAGTCCTGTGAAAATTTTGTGAATTAACGCTGATTTTTGTTGTTTGACTTCTGAATCAGTATTTATTCGGCGTGTTATTGTGTCTTCATTAACATACTTCTCAAAATCATTGAAAAATATATTTACATCAGGATAATTTTTCAGTTTTGCACATTCTAAGTTATTTTTACAAACAATTTGGAGAGATATTGAAGTTTTTAAATACATTGCATCAAATTTCGGAATTATATCAAATGCAGTCTCACACTCGTGAATATATTCCAATTGCTTATTTGTTATGGCGTCATAAATGTAATTTATAGTTTGGATATCCTTTTTTTCCCATTTTTCCATGTCATCCTTTTCACTGACTTTTTGCTGAACCACATCTTTACATTTTTTTTATTGGAGAAATTTCATCATATGCACTTTCCAGTTAAAATAGTCCAAGCCATCAAATAGTGTTATACTGATATCACTGCTTCTTGCACATGCCATTTTTATGCTAGTACCAGTAGCTTTTAAAATAAATTGTAAATCCTAAAATCTTCATTCATATTCACAAACCATGAGAACTGCTACCATGTTAAATAAACCAATATCATATCAAGAAGCAAGTCGAAAATTAAGAAATGTATCTTTTCACATTTTCTATTGAAACTTAACACATGCACAACATTACACTAATAACATTCAAAGCTTGCACACAGTGAAGACACTCGGTGTTGCTAACAAGGTAAAAATAAACTAACAATTTTAATGACATAAAACACACATTTCAGTGGTAGAAGTATGGGTTTCAATATTTTTCTTGCAATAACATGTGCCTGTAGGACTGCAGACAGAATTTTTGACTCCACTGTTGCTGTACTTTTAAGCTGCAATCGCCTATGATATTTTGTGCTGAACTCCAAAGGGTTAAAACATTTCCAATGTTTTATGTATTTTGAGTCAGTTTTCATAATAAGAAACAAATTTTAATTCTCCGTTAACATATGTCAAGATTTGTTCCTAATGTATTTTATGGTTTGGCATTTGCTGGAAATAGTTAAAGCCGCCATCTCATCATTAAGAATGCATCAAAAAAAGAGAAAAGAGACTACCCGAACTGCCGAATCTTACATCCAGGACTTTAATCTATGCCCATCAGTAATGGCATAGCAAACAGTCTTTGCTAATCACCTGATCTTCTTGTGTGACTAGTTAAGTATAATTTCAGCATGAAGATAAATAAATTACTTGTTACATTACATTTATATATTTACGATTTCTATTCTTCCTTTCAGTAACTGATCTATGAATAATATGTTAAACAAACTTTAAAATGCAAATATCTTTAATTTCGTTTTACATATATGTAATAATAAAAACATGATATTCATTATCAATATCATATTTAGCTGCTACAGATTAGCAAATATTTATTAATAAGCATGCATAATGATGAGAAAATGTTCTGGTATATGCCCATTTGACTGAAAACTGCTGCCCAGAAGGTAGACATCAGTGTTTCAAACAGCTATATTTATTAAAACTTCCATACTGTTTTATCAAGACTTGCATTATAGTGATGGCCTAGTGCTTTCTTGTTATGGTAGTTCATATATGGCAGAAATAGTTTCAAGTTGTATCTATTGACTTTGCATTTGGAATTCAAAAGGTTAATGGAGTGAGGACGTTTTACCAGCACACTTCCAATTAAAATTTTTATACCATAAATTCAGCATGCTAATAACCTCAAATTTGTGTGAAAGGTATTACATATTGTATTGCATTATTATATGCAAATTATTAGTATTCCAGTGCATGCACACAAAGCATGTATGAGTAATGCCATATACATTGCATATAAATGGGGAGATAGCACAACTTATATCTCATTTGGAAATTATCACAGTTTTATATCTCGTTGGTTGCTTGGGAAAAAGAAGGAGAAATTGTTGATTGGGCCCTATGACTGTCAGGCAAATAGTATGAAATCAATGGGTCCAGGAAGGCCATGGAGGATTTCAGCAGCTTCATGCAACCAAACTTTTAGGGGGCAGACATGTTTCCCTCTTAGTCTTGTGGGATCATACAGCCATGTCACATCCCTGAGTTGGAAACTTAGCTTATGTGCAGGATAGCAAGTATCTTCAGGGACAGTGTTACGGTGTCTACAGCATCACAGACTGTCAGTACAATAACTATTCTTTTCTTATGGCTGTAGAAAAACAGGTGCTTCTGCAGTGGTGCAATGAATGATGACACTGGAGAGGCACCATGTCTCCATTTCGGCCTACAGCATTATGATGGACATAGCCATGTATGGAAGCATTGAACTAGAACAAATTTTGGCAGCTTACATTCATCATCATCATATGGGCCCATGCCTTGCATTCTGATATTAGATGTCTCTGGGCACACATCCCAGTCACCTCCGGATCATCCATAATGTGGACAACTCCCATTGCATTTCTAAGGCATTAAGGCCATGGCTATGCCCTGTCTTTGAAGCCTGCATCTTGTTGAAAGATCATGTCATGACTTGTTCAAAGAAACAAATGACACGATCTTTCAATAAAATAATGCATAATTGCATATTGCCCATGCTGTCCTGACATTCCTCAATATAGAGGGTGTTCGACTGTTGTCTTTACCAACATGTTTTCTAGATCTGTAACACACTGAGAACATCTGGTCATGGGTTGCTGAGAGATTGGTATGCTACCACATGCCAGCCACTAGGATTGATAAACTCTGGGATAAGGATGAAGCTGCATGGAATGAAGTACATGTAATCTATTTTCAGAACTCAGTTTTACTCAATGCTCACTTTATTACAGCCATTATTGCTGTCACAGGTGGGAATTCTGCGTACTGAATACCCAACTATGTATGCCAAAACCTGCAAATTTAATCATGCTTTATTATACTGTATATGTACAATAAATAAGATTCTGTTAGTTGCTTTCCTTTCTAGTGTATCAATTTTAATGGCCAGCAGTGTATTTTCTGCTATAAATAAAGCTGGCTGTAATGTAATCCAATTTCAGAAAGAAAAATTTTATTTGAATGTTGTTTATCATCTGTATTAAATATTATTTTTTGCCTACATTTTGTTTCTAAAAGTGCCTTGTCTAAAATATGTGCAATAACATTTGGCATTTGTATTACTGTTCTGTTACCATTCTCAAATAAAAATTTTCTGAACATTGTTTCGAAAAAGTTTTTTTATTTTTTAATGGTAGGTATCTCTGTTTTTTGATCTCTTGATTGCTATGTCCACAAAGATGAGGAAAGACGACTTTGTAACTGGAAAATGTGGGAAAACATATAATGTCAAAGCTGGCTTTGCTGAAGAAAGTTCAAAAAAAAGTCTGCTTGCTAGATCTTTAGTGTGGAAGGAACTTTCGAGATATAAAATGTCCCAAAGTAATGTACCCTTGTAGCCGATAGAAAAAGATTTCATTTCTGCATACTGATTGTTGTTCATGTGCTATAAGTGTTTTCTGTGCACATATTATGTTTCTGTATTTCATGGATATTTATTTTATATATTGAATATTAATATAATAAGAAATTTATGCTTATATTATTAAATATTAATCTAGGAGCCATAAGCAAAATTTTGACGTAAACATTTTTTTTTTCCCAGATTTTAAATGTCATTATGCACATAATTCAATGGCAGATTAGGAGGATGAGAAAATTTTAAAGCTGTTTCTAAGGCATTGTTTTACAAAATTTCCTTTAATTCTTATAGTAATCTTAGATAATTTTTCTTTTCTTCATTTATTTTGAGTGGTGTTCAGTATTAATATGCATATTTTAATTCAGCTTTAATACACATATTTAATCACAATTTTTGTAAAAAATATAAAGCACTGTGTTATAAATATTATTTTTCTGTAGTTTGCAAGCTTGCAGTAGTTTTGAATAGCTTGAATTTTCAGTAGCTTCTGTAGTTTGAATGCAATGAATACAAGCTTTAAGACATTTTAATTAGCATATTAAATAACAGTTTTAAAAATAGAGTTTAAATTGCTGTCTTTAGCTAAGAAAGTGATGTATCCTTCTTTCTGAAAAGGACAATGAAATATTTTAAGATATTATTTCAGGTTTTCTAATATCATAGGTCCCCCCCTCTCCTCATAAAAGGCTAATTTAAAGATTTAAAAAACTATTTGTCATCTTAACCCATTAACCGCCAAAACTACAAGGAATGTTTCTTTTCTCATGAAAATAATAGCAAATATTAAATTAAGCATTTATAACATAATTGACATTGAAAATATAAAAAAGCTCTTACCTGTGGAAAAGCGAGTGTTTGCGTTCGCGCAACGTCAGCGGAAAAGACTACGGATGTTTAGTGAGTAGGATTGTACTCGTGTGATGTTTCTTTTGAGTGGAGCGCAGGATACTTTTAGCTGTATAACGTTTTATAAATCTACAAATCACTTTACTTGTAATTAAATTAATATAAAATATACATTGTTTTCTTTTACAAATACAGATTATTTCAATTCAAGGATTGATGCATGAAAAGCTTGATTACAATCATGATGTAAGCTACATTACATACTTTGGCATCTATAAACAGTCTGGCTATTTACTCTTTACAACAAAGTCTTTTGTTATCAATGGACTTACGATAAATGTCTACCATCTCCATGTAATGGTTTTTTGAATGCTGAATTTACTAGGTCTTCCTGTTTTTGATCTATTTCTGGCTAATTCTACACACTCAATAGGAGTTTGCAAAGGGAATAATGCATTCTCGCGTCTGAAATCTAAAAGAGACTTTATATTTCCAGTAATAAAAAGTGGTGATATTTAGTAAGTTTAGATACGGTCTGACCTCATATAATTTATCAGTATTGTCAATTTGACTATTGTCAAATGCAAATTATGCTTCATATTCGTGTACTGCAAATGTGATATCGATTCTCGTACAACAGGAACAGAAATGTCCTTATCAAAAGACCAATACATTTTTTCTTGAGGTAAAGAATAATATCCTATAAGCAATAATATTCCAATAAATCTTCTCATATAGGCTTCAGATGTAATAAATTCTGCCCCCCCCCCCCCCTTTTTTTTTTTTTTTTTTTTTTTTTTTTTTGCTGAGCGTATTGTCTCTTCAACGAGAAGAGAGTAAATGTCTAAACCAAAACGAAAATCAAAAATCTGTGCACTAGTTTTACCTTGTATTTTGTCTTTTATAATTTCTGTTCTATCTCTTTCTTCATGTTCTTCCTGAGACATAACTAACAGTTCCTTTTTTATCCACTTCAAGATTTCAATCTTCTGCTTTTTAAACTTTTTAGTATGACTATAACTGCTTTAGAAGGCTGAAACATACTTCTTACGTGAATTTCAACTTCCCCAGCAGTATCATTTGGTAAAATATCATTATCATTATTTAAAACATTGCCATTTCTTTCTTCTTCATCACTATTTCTGCAATTTCTGGGGGAACAACAACACTACCAGTTTCATTCTGGTCATTATTAACATTATCATCATCTGTTTCTTCATCAAAAAATCTTTGAAGGGCTTCTTCTAATGTAAGATACTTCATTTTAGGCATTTTTAAACAACCAGGACATGAACCAGACCATCGAAAGGAATGAGTGAATAAGGAGATTGACTACCCGTTTCCTGCTGACGTTGCGTCAGCGCAACACCTGTTTTCACTTGCTTCCCAACACAAATATAAACATCTGATTGATGTAATGTTCTGATAAACGATGACCTTGACTAAAAATAGATCACTCATAACGACGGCGATTCTTTCGTTAAATATTTTCAGCAAAAATACCCGGTCGAAAATTTTGCTTAAATTTTGCTTAAAGTATGAGATTAATTATTATAAACAAAATGATTGTTGAAGGCTAATATTTTTTACAGAAATTATCTTCATAATATTCCCTACACAAAATTGTCTGCTGGTATAAAATATCTTAGGTAGTTATGTTTATATACGCATTTATTTTAACCGTTGTGTCAATGCAAAACCAGTAGCTAATGGGTTAAAAGAGTATTTTTTAATATATATATATATATCTATATATATATATGTATTATAATGATAAAATTTAACATGTTTTTATTAGAAATTTCAAGAGATTGCAAATAATTTGAGATTTAAAACTGATATCAAATCCCTCTATAAGATTATTAAGGGTTTGACAATATTGGTGCCATAAGTGAAGCAACACATTATATAAGGAAGTATTTAGAACTATGTGATTATAAAGTTATGTAACATGTAATGTAAGAGAGTAATATGTTATTCAGAGAAGAAAAGTAAACATTTTAAGATAAATATTGGCATCCAGTTTATTATTTTAAATATTCAATTTAGAATTCAATATAATTAGTGTAATTAAACTTTAAGTAAATAGTGGCATTCCATTTAAAAATAATTTGTATGTTTTTGTTTATATCCAGCATGGCACTGAAATTTAAATTAAAACTATTTGAAGTCACTATTCATTTCATTATTTAAATTTTGCTAACAGAAAATAGCCTTGAAAATAATGAAATTTTTAAGCTGCTTTGGATTTAGAAAATAGTTATAACCTGTAAGTGATAGTGATTTTACAGATCTGATCAGTCTGCAGTGAATTTTCGGTATGATATATATATATATATTATATCCTGTAAGGACTTTAAAAATATGATGTATAGGCAGAATGATCCTATATCTGAATAGCTACATAATGTTGCTTGACTGAATTACTGTTCTGTATTTATCCAATTAAATAATTAATATGACTTAATAATATATTTAATCCTTTTTTTTTCTTTTACTGATTAATTTTTATTGTATGTCTGAATTTATTTTTCTAAAATATCATGACTTAATTACGGTTTCAGAAATACTAAGCAATTGTCAACATTTGTATTGGTCTTGCATACCCACTGCAGAAGATCACATGACAAATTTATTTAGAGTAGCTTCTTCGAATCAGATCCATTCCATTTGCCAGGTAATAAATATTTTATTTTTCTTCCCTTTAAAATTTTTGTTAAAATTATATTAATATTTTGTTTATATAATAACATGATATTCAGTGAAAAAGTTTATTTCTGTGTCATCAATTATGATAACAGTGTCAGACTCAGGAGATTATGTGGCTATTGTGCAGATTTTTGTGCTATTTCAATACACCACACAGTCTATCAGTATGCAATCTTAATTTGAAGTGCTATTAGTCTCAACACCTCTATTATTCATTAAAAGCACATTGATGACATGACTCTGTGCCAGTGAAGTACCAATGCTGCAGCACTACCATATTTGCTGGGTATCCCAATTACCATTTTTCCATAGGAAATACCTAGCCCACTTACAGTTCATATCAATCTGGCTGTGTGAAAGCTTTGGGCAGCATAAATTCCTGATCTCTTGCCAACTGAGAATATTGTTACGTAGGAAAAAAACATTAAAATTTAATTTTTACATTAAACTTTTAAACTAGACTGACTACTTAACTAACTCTTTCTGGCAACATAAAAAATAAATAAAAAACTAAGACTAACTAAGTGTACCCTTTCATGATAGAAACTTATTTATTAAATCAAGAATGAAAAGTAAATATCCTCCATGGTGTTTTTGTAAAATCAAAGATTATTTTATCAAAACAATGTAAAAATTCATTTCTGTAACAAAATCATCAATCTGATATCTCTTACTAAAAATAAACTAAATCAGCACTCCAACCTGAAAACACATGAATTTCAATACAAATCTAGAGATAGCCCTAAAACAGTTTACATTTAAATATAACACAAAACTCTTCAAAACACTAGGGAAAGATAAATGTCACACTAAAGAAGTGTAATCACCAATTCAAATAAATTAAGTAAGCCGATCATATAGTCACAAAACACTAAAAATTCATTTTTCTACTACCACAATAAGATTTACCCAAGTTCGAATTGAACTAACCATGTTTTCCGAAAGGATCACATGGGTGACCTACAGTAGACCACAAACAAAACTCAAAACATACACTAATTGAATCAATAAACACATTTATTGAACATTAGAAACTTTATAATTTAAGATAGCTGGCCAGACTACCCCTACAAAACATTTTCTAAAAGTTACTCATATTTTTTTTTTAAATTTCAATTTCATTTTAATATTATTCAAATCATACTAAAATCATATTGAAACACCTCACAGTTATTAATAATTTTAAACAGGTACTCAAGAATTTAAATGCAGTATAAAGCTAATTTAGAATAACTCATAATTCCTTAAACTGTGACACATCAGTGCATTTATCTTCGGTCATATCAAAATTAAATGAACATGACAATCAAACATTTAAAAAATAAAATTCATTTCCTCAGATTAGTTAGATTACTAGCAAGAAATAAAATGAGAGGTAACAAAAGAAAAAAAAAATTCACTCAAAGTTGGCTAGATTATTGCTCTCTAAAACCCAAATCTGAAGACTCTTACGTAGAAACAATATTCAGTTGATACTTAATTAGTTGACAGAACCACTATTCATCTCACAACTGTTAGAGACAATCATGGTTGGCTATTTCATTCGCTGTCCAAAAAAACAAGTCTTAAAATTCAGAAGTCCGAAACACTGTTCAATCGATACGTATAGTTGACAAACCCATGGTTGGATAACAGGTCGAGACACTCACAGTTAGCTATTTCATCGCTGTTAAAAAAAAAGTATGAAGACTCTGAAGTTGGAAACATTGTTCAATCGATACGTAATAGTTGACAAAGACAAAACCACAGTCTGATAACGGTTTGAGACTCACACTTGGCTAAACGCTAGAAATTTAGAAGAAAGTTTACTCAACTATTTCAACTGCAGTCTATGACTTTTTTTCAAAGAAGGGAAAACAAGTTCATCCTTTTTTCAAGAGTGGAACAATGATTCTCACCGACAGTTCCCATGCGAGTGGTCCTCTCTAATACTCTTGACTTAATCAAGACAGATGATTCATGAGTAGCCATAATGGCAGGAAGAGAAAATGCAGGACCTAGTCCCAACTCCACAAACACAGATGCTGACAAATGTCATGATGATAACTCTGATACTCTTGACTTAGAACAGCTGGAAGAGAAAATGCGGGACCTAGCCCCAACTCCACAAATACAGATGCCGACAAATGTCACGATGATAGCCACCACGTGATGGACTGGTTCTCGCAGCCCAGAGGCGTTAACAACTTTTAACGGCAAACGCAGCAGGCCTGAGCGCTGCCTCATGCTCCTTCCATTCAGAAAAGTTGATAAAGTCTATCCGCAAAAAAAAAAAAAAAATTCTACCCCTGCCTCTCGTGTAACAACTTTTGAAAGCTCGGAGATGCTCAGTGCGTACCGCCTCTAAATTCACTATTGGCTTAAACATCACTAAAATTAAAAATTAGCCAGTCTTAAACAAAACTTGAACTCCCTCTAGCCAATTAGAACAGAGGTGATAAACAACGATCAAAATTTGAAGAAATTCAGACTCTCTAAAAAAATGGCAAATCCTTCTAAAGATAAATCAAATTATCATTGATATTTCTTCAAACTATTTCGAGCTTTCTACTGTAATTTGAGAGGTTTATTAAATATTTACCAGAGCAATTATTGAATTTAAATTTTGATATATAGGTTGGAATTTTTAATTTCTGATATGTTATAATATAAAGGATTAGTGATTAAATTGGTTTAATTGAATTATCTTGATGAATATTTTCATATATATAGGTTGCATTATATATATGAAATATATATAATGTAACCTATATATATGAATTAATATGTTATTAGTCCTTTCTTTCTCTTATTAGTCCAAAGGGGCTTTGTCCCTGAGGGACTATTGTTTTTGTTTTGTGCCCGCTTTACTTTTTAAACTGTCGCCACCAAATATAATCACCCTGTATTATATTTAAAGAAATTAGAAATGAAAAATCTGCATGTTTCTCCCATTGTGAAAAAACAATGGTACTTAGAGCCATTAAATTTTGAATAACATAATCCTTCACCCAAGTATGGGTACTTGGAAGCCCGAATTTTGAATTTCAAATTGTTTTATCACGATATTTTATAAAACTTAAACGGATTTTTGCAATCTCAACTATTTCAAAGTGAGCACTGGCAATACTGTGTGGGAGAAAACATTTTTATCTCTAGTGCACAAGACTGTCTATCAAAAATTGTAAAGGTATGCTGTTTTTAAATATTTTGTGATATTGCTGTTGAACTAAATTTTATGTGATTTAAGTGCAGAGAATATGATATTTAATAAATAAAGGTAACCCGCAAAATGTTAAAAAAAAATGCCCCTTTGGTTGTAATATAAAATTTCAAAGCTTTCAGATTTTTTTAATGTTTTCTTGTATTTATTTGAAATTATTGTTTCAGATTCAGAATAACAAATCAGATAAAAACCTTCTTATGAATTCATATATCCAGACTTTGGAGAAGGGCCAAATATCACCTGGTGTTGTCATTTGTGATTCTCACATAGAAACATGTTCAGTCAATATTGGTACAAGCTCATATATTTCAGGCATCAGTTACCTTGAACCTCTTTGTGTGAGATATTTATCTATTGTTGTTTGTTAATTTTTTAAAACTTAGTGGAATATTTAATCAAGGAATTATGCAACATTGTAAATAATGTGTACATATTTTATTGATTTTAAAGCATTTTCATTGTGTGTTTCAATTTATTCTATATTTTCATTTAATTATAAAGTAACTTATTGGCTTGAAAAAACAGAAATACAAACATTTCTGTACTTTTCCTTTTTGAAGAATGAATACTGTGAAATGTATATCTTCTGTCTCTTTTTAGAATCAGAATTTTAGAATTTTTTAAACTTGGATAATTACATATATTATAATCATTATTATCTGTAGTCTGAAAATTTGTGGGTTTGTTTATGGATGACATGAAATCCAAGTTTCTTATTTATTACTTTACTCTTATCAATGTAAGTTATTTTCTAAAATACATTCATTAGTAGACAAATTGTTATTTTAATTTGTTTTGTCAAATTAGCTTATAATTTGTTATTAAAGTATGAGAAACTCATTTTGAAGAGCTTTCCTGTTCCGCCTTTGAAAATTCTTTTGATATTACATTAATTTATGTCATCTATGACATCATTTCTTAATCTGTGATTCTTGAAGCCTGTCCACACGATCCTCTTAGATTTCCAAAAAGACAAAAATTAAAATTCACATTAACTACATAAATGGTACAGTAACTGAAAATCTTAGTTTAATTTTAGCTGATCACTGAATTAGGATTATTCTTATTGTATGTAATATTTTCATAATGCAATTTTATTTAACAAGTATTAGTTATAGTATTAGGTAATCTAGGTTAACAGGTCTTCCTGTAACAAAAATGATATTTTCTAGCTAGGAAAATTCTCCACAGAAAGTGATACTTATGCATTATAGCTTAATTTCAGTGAATTAAGAACATATTTGTAAAACTTGTAATTGGGTTAATGTTTATATCGTTAAGTGTGTACACCCCTAGTTGTAGTTGGCATGACGGTAGGAAAGCCAGCTGCCATAGCCTTGGGTTCAAGTCCCATAAAAAGCATAGATTTTTGTAAATATATAGCATCTTTGTGCCAAGGGGCACTTAAAATATTGTCAAGTTCAAAGGTCTTTCATTAGGTTATTGGTAGGAAACCCCTGTATATATCCTCCGTGAAGACTTCCACCCAAATTAGGATGGAGTTTCCCCTTTCTCACTGGTGTAATTCTGTTACCTCCTATGAGGCACCCTTATCAATGTTCACAGTGATGAGATGGCTAAAGGGACCAATAGGTCCACTCTTTTCTGATAAATGCATTAAGTTGCAAGTGTCTGACCACTTGGAAAACAACATATGGCTAAATATCTTGTTATCATTTCTTACACTCTTAATTCTGTTGATGACAGTAAGGATAATTTCTACTCATAAATATGTGCATGTATATTTTTAAAAAAGTACAGTTAAGCTTCTGTATCCATGATTTAAGTGAATCATAATTTTTTGGATCCATTTTTTTTAAAAAATAAATATTTGTAAGTTTTAGTCATATGCAAGTAAAAAGAAGGTGCAACATACCACACATTCACCCATTATTTCTGTCTAAATGCATCCATTACTGTCTTTCAGAGTCCGGACAGTGAATGTAAACACAGTGCAAAACTTGGACCAGTGTTTCATTTCTTATTCAGGGCCATGATGTAAAGCATTCTGCTGATTGTTCTATCGCCCTTTAAAATTGACAATGCATATAGAATATTTATCATCTTTTGAAATCCACCCCTTTCCTTAGGCAGATAGCCTTCATAAGCTTTGCTATATAAGAATCTTTTATATTCATGTTCGTGGAAAGCTGAAAGTGTACTTTAAATGTATTGGACAACAGTATGCTTTATGATTACTTTATAATGACTTATTGTGCATAATGTATCAAATTTTTATACTTGTACATGTGTGCTATATGATATCATGTATACTTACATGTATATGTATTATGTTGGTAGCACATATAACTTGTATTTATATGATACGAGGCATATTCGGAAATTAAGTACCGTTTTGAAAAAAAAAAAAAATAGTAAAACAATTTTTTCGAATCCAATTTTATTTTTACATGAAAATACATGTCTTAAACTATTTTTCAACATAGTTTCCGCCAATGATCAAACACTTGTCATAGCGGGTGACCAGTTTTTGTATACCATCGTCAAAGAAACTTCCCGCCAGTTTCGATAACCACGACTCCACACAGTTGCCACCAAGCTCGCGCTTCATGTGCAGGAACAAGTGATAGTCGGACGGCGCCAAGTCCGGGCTGTACGGCGGGTGATCGAACTGCTCCCAATGAAACTGTCGAATTAACGATTGAGTGACACCAGCAGTATGGGGCCGAGCATTGTCATGGAGCAACACAATTCCTTTACTGAGCATTCCTCTTCGTTTGTTTTGAATGGCACGCCTTAGTTTTGTTAAAGTCTCACAATATCGTGCCGCATTAATGGTTTCACCTCTGGGAAGAAATTCAGTAAGCAAAACGCCTTTCCTATCCCAGAAGACAGTGCACATGATTTTTTGTGATGACATTGTCACTTTGAACTTTTGTTTTTTCGGAGAATGAGTGTGTCTCCACTCCATCGATTGTTGTTTCGATTCTGGTGTGAAATGACACACCCAAGTTTCATCACCTGTCACAATTTGGTTTAAAAAGTTTTCTCCCTCATCACTGTACCGCGTGAGAAATGTCAGGGCACTACCAAGTCGCTTTGTTTTGTGAACATCAGTGAGCATTTTTGGAACCCATCGGGAACACAGTTTGCGATAATTCAAGCGGTCAGACACAATTTCGAACAAAAACAGTACGTGAAATTTGTGGAAATGCCTCTGAAAGAGTTGTCATTGTGAAGCGTCTGTTCTCATGAATTGCTTCATCAACTTTCCTTACCAAATCATCGGTGACAACAGAAGGCCGACCACTCCGAGCCTCGGCGTGGACATTTGTTCGACCTGCATTAAACATTCTTACCCACTTTCTCACCATTCCATCACTTATCGCGTATTCACCGTAAACTTCTGTCACTTGACGATAAATTTCGGCCGGTTTAACATTCCTCGCGTTCAAAAATTTAATCACGGCACGAATCTCACAGTCAGCGGGAGAACTAATTGTCTTAAACATTTTGAATGTGCACAGCAAACTGAAAACACAACATAGAGCAACCAAAATGGCGACAATTGAAAGTCAGTGAACAAGAAAGACTAGTGCGCATGCGCGGGACGCCTACCACAGCGCTAGAATGAAACGGTACTTAGTTCCGAATATGCTACGTATAATGTACACTGTGTTCGAAAGCCCGTTCACAAGAGTAGATTCGACCGGTAGCGAAAAACTGGTTCTTTCAACGTGTCCCATTCACATGGGAGAAGCATTAACTGCCTTGCCGAATTGGAGGTAGAACTTGGTTGAATGTTCCTTACCTCTTGGGAGCAGGGCAAATGGGGAGATTTCCCGTACTATACTGCACGGTTCACTTAATTTTAGTTACTGCTCGCTGGACTGTCAGCGAAACAGTCGCGCTGATAGATGTCTGGGGATGTGATAGCATTCCCCCAAAAATTAGCAGGGCAAATGAACTGTACAAGATACGGAAATTATAGACAAATACAGACAATGTTATCTGATACTAGGTATTCCAGAAATATCGTTTAAATTAAAACTAAAGTTAAGACAAGTGCATATCGGCTTCCACGCAACAAGGGACTCGGTATCTTTTGAATGATTTTTTTAAAAAAAATTTAAGCATATTCATCTACTTTTTATGAATATTATTAAATGCTTTTGTAAGACAAAATAATTTTAAGCTGAAAAAAAGTTTTTGCTAGTAATTTTTTTAATTAAAATTTTTGAAGAAATATTTTACAATTAAAATGTTTTTCTTCTGTAATTTTCAATGTCTCCCCCCCCCAGATTTTTATTATATTTATTAGTTCTTAATAACTTCAAGGAATGATTTTGAAATTAAGGAATTAGTTTCTGAGAAAAAATAAAAATACACTTTTATCTAAAATCTTTAAAACAAATATTATCTCAGTCACATTTTCATTTCAAATAATTTTTCTTTTCAGTGTTTTGCAAAACCCATCCTTGTTTCTATAAAGTATATAATTTTAAATAAGCAGTAAAAATAATAAATAATTTAGTCCATACCTGTATATGTTTTAAGACTTTAAGTAAAAGGATTTATCGGTTTCTCAGTTTGCATTTGCAGTTTAAAGAATACAAACTGTCTAAACAGACATTTAATCATTTCAAATCTTTAAAATTTTATTACTGAATTTCAGTACACACACACATATATATATAAATCAAATATAGTGCTATTTCTTCAATTGGTAAATATAAACATAAATTACAAACCTTTTTTTAAAAACCTTATGTGGCCAGAAAAAATTGCAAAAAATCATAAAACGCAAGCAGAATTTTTCTTTACCTTTTTTTGTTTTGTAAAACATGTTCAAAACAATTTTAATACATTAATTAATTATAATATTGTTTCATGCGTACGGCTTTGTAATAGATTGATAATAGTTCATAAATGATTGTCATTGCACTCAAATCCGATGATAGCTTAATTAAATTTACTTTGTCAACAGAAACTCTTGAAAGTTCTGGAATTTTCCACATAAAATACTCGTACAAGTGTTTAGAATATCACTAAATATAATCAGTAGTTATGCTTCAATCTGATAAGAATGTTAAACACAATGGAATGCAAAACGCATCTTAAGAGAAAGTTAACTTAGAAATATCTCCAATCTCATGCTGAACTAACAACTGGAAACAATAACAACTTATATAGTATAAATAATGTCATAAAATAGTGTGGTATAATGAGATTATTACTTTGAAACCGATGTTTCAAATTGATGCCCAAGAAGAACCAACATTTCCCATTCTGTTTCATTGCATATCTTTCAAAAAAGTAAAAAAATCGTCTAATTAATTTCCTTTATCATTTTTTTAAATGCGAAAAATTTGTTTTATAAGCTGTAAAAATGTCGGAAGTTTGTAACCAATATATTTTTAGATATGAAATTTTAAAATTAATGGGCGTCAAAAAGTCTAAAAATATGAACGATTTTCAAAAATTCTCCAAAAATATTTTTTTAAAAAATTACACTAAAAATTTCATTTAATTTTTTTTTCCTCCACAGTGTGTTATGGTACAAACTATAATACTCTGAGATTCTCAGTTTATTTGTTAATATTTGCAAAAAATCGTTTCAACTTTAAATTTGAAAAAAATCTAATCCTCTAAAAATCAAAAGCGTGACACCACATCCACAAGCAGTGTATGTACAAAGTTTGAGTTCTATATCTTATCAGGAAGCAGTTTAAAAATCCATGACCATCTTTTAACCACAGTGAAAAGCACCAAGAGTGAACTAAATAACAGCTTATAAAATAATAATAATAATAATAATTAAAAAGCATATATTTTTTCAGGAACCATTAGGAAAGTTCAGGTACCAGTTGTGAAAGTACAAATTACAAAATTAACAACAGTAAAAAATGTTAAATATGTATAAACAGTATGAGAAATCGGCCAATTCGGAGACGAAACTGTTTCATGTCTCCTTTTTCTCCTCTTGCTAATGGCAGCTGTGCGAAAGAGCGTTGCATGTGAATGGCGTTTAAATCTTCTACATTACCTGTTGCATTCGTTTCATATACTCACAGTAGATTTTGAAGTTGTAATATTATGGATACAAGAGCTAAATTGTATAAATTGCTTGCTAAATTGCTAATTGCTTGATTTCATTTTGTGAAATAGATTTATCTGTTAAGGGTGGAAATATTGCATTTTTACAGCTATTGCATTTCTTTTCTAGGCTTTAGTTATACCTAAAGATCTTGCTGTGATAAAAGTTTTTATGCAAAATGATATTCAATCTGAACTCTTTGTGATATTTGGCATACAAGAGAATTTAATGGTATGCCTAATGTTTTGAAGCTTTCTCATTAAAAATTTGAACCATTTATTTATTATAAAACCTTTATTTTTAATATAAAGAAAAACTGAAATTCATAAATATTTGTAAAATATGTCATCTGCTGTACACATTATTAAAAAGCATTAGCTATGTGTTTTTTGTGAACCATGAAAACTTTAAAAAATTCGTAAAACTGAATATCAATTTCAGGTACTTAATAATAGTCAAAGTATTTGAACTGTTGCTGTATGTGGAAAAGAAATAGTCAAAGCTCTTCATATGTCATATGGTAAACCCTTTTATTGTGCAGCGTAATTCACCCTTATGTGATATCAGCATCTCATTTCCAATGTTATAGTTTTGGGCTCTCCAGTTTTATTTATTTTAGTTTACTTTTTCTGTTTCTAGATGCCATCACACAACCATAAAAACAAGTTTGTAGTTTTTTTTTTTTTTTTTTTTTTTTTTTTTTTAATTTTGTTATTGAAATCATAGTAAAACACCTGCTTTCTTTCTGATATGTTGTGCTGCATTTGTTAAACATTTTGCTTAACAAATATAATGTTTTATTACAACTTACTATTTATATTATTCTAATCTTATGGTTTTAATTTTGCATACTAGTGGAATATGTTGAACAAAAAAAAATTGGGTGATTCAGGGGGAAAGTGATTCTGAAGGCCCAGACATTAGTGTTTACAAAAGTATACTCAGTGATTCTAAAACTCTTTTTTTACAGATGCCGGGGTAATGAAATTAATTTGAAACATGACTTCAAAGATGCTTGAATGTTTTGTGAGATTAATGTAAAAAATCCTCTACCATTTCCCACCAAGTTTTTCATTTCTTTTGCTTTTGATGTATTCATATGAATGTCAAACAAAATATGAATATTATACAATTTTTGGAGCAATTTTTTATCATTATCTCATAAATAGTATTGTTGTGCTAGAAAATAATTGATACCTTGTAAAATAATGTCAGAAATAATTTGCAGCCACATTCATACAGAAAATATTAACAGCCCACAACACCAAAGGAAATCTGTATGTTTTTTGCATTGATTATGGTTATGTTCAAAATTATGTAGGATGATAAGCTTTATTTCAAAGTAGGAAATATGAAAAATAAACAATGCCTTAGTTGGGATTCGAACTTCGGACCAATGCTACCAGAAATGTTTCAGTAAAAATTGCGAGAGAAGAATGGAAAAATTGCAAAAAATAGCATGTAATGTCAGAGATAACAATATTTTTGTGGTGTCATATGTATGCGAGTTCAATTGATCTTTGGTGTCATCACAAAGTCAGTTTCCACGTGATGTTAGGTTAACTGTAATTTGTTTCTTCCTTGTTTTATATGTATGTTAGTTTTGACAAAAATATTAAAACCATATTGCTAGTTTTCCATTGTTGGAATCTTCATTTCTTCATTAATCTAACATATCTCTTGCATCCCAGTAATGTTCGTCGAGAAAAGTCTTGCTCAGAGCAGGACAGTGGGGTAGATGTGCGTCATCCATCACCTCTTCAGAGCTGCACAGAATGCATATTGGAGAAGGAACAATTTTGAATCTATGAAGTTGATATTGTAGGCAGTCATGTCCGATGGCAAGGCGGAATTCAGTGACCGCTCTATGCCTTAGGCCATTACACAAATTCGTAATAGCATTCTTCCAAGACTTATGAGAAACACGATGATAGAGATCTTCCTGAGCATGTACTTTGAAAGATCTTTTAATAAGATCCCTAACAGTATGGAAAGGCAAAGGACGAGAAATATTCTGCACAATTAAAGCACCCTTTTTTTGCCAAGAAGTCGGCTTTCTCATTACCTGGAATCCCACAGAGGGCAGAAACCCACTGGAAGACTGTAGTTTTCTCAAGTGAAGCCAGATTTTCTAGATAATGTTGACAGTCCAATATATCCTTTGATATGGGATTTTTATCCGAAACGATAGCCAACAGAGCAGCTCGAAAATCACTGAGTATAACAGCTCTTGTGAATTTTTCTAAGTGGCATGGTAGCTGGTACAGAACTGTGCAAATCACAGCAATTTCACTGCCAAATGCAGGATCTCAACCCACAGGGATGTAGAAAGAGAAAATTTTGGAGGAACCTCCAACTCTGGCGTTCATCAGACAAAAGGGATCCATGAGTAAAAATTCAAAGCCACTGTTGCACCTGGCGCCCGTTCAGACACGAGGCGGGTTCTTTTCATGCATAACAGGAAAATAATCTTCATCAGCTTTGAAACTTTATCCACTAATTTATTACACATAACGGTACACAATATTCCACAAAACGAAATCACTTTTATCCATAAGGGAAAAAAAATACTATATACAATATAAAGCACGCAAAAACATGTTTTAGTTATCTCCTTTCAAATGGCATACTTGCCGGTCCACTCCAAAAGTTCCCAAGTCTCCTTGTCACCCCACCAGTCTGACTCGACCGTTTTTTTCCAGTTAGCTATGTCACTTCATTTAATTGTCTTTAGTCTCGAGGAGAAAAAGTTTCAGAAAAATCTTTCGCTAGGGTAAGGAACTTCACAGCCACTCTGGCTCAGGATAAAAAAATTTTAAGACTTCGAAAGCAAGGGCTGTCAAAATAGAGGGATCCTTATTATATTTGGTTACTTTTTGACCCAATTTAAGATTAATCCAGAAAGATTTCAAATTTATTGGATTTTGTTGTGGAACAAGTAATTCTAGTTCATTCATTAAACCAAGTTAACCGAACCAACCAATTTTTTCAGTTAAATTTTTTAACTGAAAAACTTTCTGTAGAAAGCTCATCTGGGTCTAGATTTGTAATAAAATCTTGGACTTCATTCCAGAGTGAAAGACATCCAGGAACTCTAATGATATTTTCCCTGAGAATTAAGGCCTTCTCTTGAATTACGATTTTTAAGAGTTTATCACTAGTTAACATAAACATGGCATCAATCGGGGTGGTCTTCACGGCTCCAGAAACAATACGTAAGCACTGATTTTGGATTTTTCTTGAGTACATTTTCCACGGCCGCAACAAGTGGTTCATAACAGTAAGTCAGAAGGGGGAGGATAAATGAATGATAAATTTGAAGCAGGATTTGTCTAGTACAACCCCAACTTGCCTCAGCAAGGCATTTAAGGACACTGAATCTCTTTGTAGCATGGTTATACAAGTCCTCAACATGTGGCTTCCATGTTAATTTGCAGTCAAACGTCACACCCAAATGTTTTAAATTTATCGCACAAGGGGATTTGGGTACCCTTATACGTCAGCTGAAGATCCAAAGATTGGTGCATAAGTGAGAAAGTCAGGCAGTATGATTTATTTCATTTAAGTTCACCTCCATATTATTAGTATCACACCAAACTTTCCCAAAGCATTCAAGGCAGCAGGAGAGTTTAGTCTCTATGTTTCTTACTGCACTTTCTTTTTTAAAAAAAAATTCCAGAAAACCAAATCATCAGTGTATAAGAGGCAACTTGATGCCAGAAATCTCTCGTATTTTATAAATCAAATCATTAATATAGATATTAAAAAGGGAGCAGCTACTAACAGCTCCCTGTGGGAGGACCTGATTTTTAAGATCTTAGATTTCAATAGAGCGTTACTGTACCTGACTGTTAAAGAGCGCTGGCACAGGAAAGCCTCTAATCCAATTAAAAAGATTTGCTCTAATGCCTAGACCCGGCAGTTTCAGTAGAACGCTCTCCTGCTATACTTTGTCATAGGCAGATTTGAGATCAATAAAAACTGCATTCAGGCTATTATCCAGGGCATCCTTGACACGTTGACTCAAGAGGGGCAACATGTTGGTTAGTAAATCTGGAGCTTCTAAATTCCGCCTGCTACTTGGCAAGAAGTCCGCAAGTAATAATTAAGTCTTCTCACAATTATTTTCTCTATAGCCTTCTCCTTAATACTAGTAAGCAATATTGGTCTATAGTTACGGAGACTATCCCGAATTTGTCTTTCTTATGTATGGGCATAATGATAGAAGTTCGCCATTCAGCTGGTACAATACCATTGTTCCAAATTAGATTGAAAAAGATCCAAACAGTCTCAAATGCTTTAGGATCAAGATGGGGGAGAAACTCAGAATGGATTCTATCTCCACCAGGTGATTTTCCACAAGGAAGGCTTTTTAAAGCATAGTTCAATTCGTCTCAAGTAATGGGCGCCTCAAAAACTGAATCAGTAGAAGATTCAAATTCCGATTGCAGGAGTGTAGTTTTTTTGCTTAATTCTGGGGGAATGTATTTTTGCATAAGTGTTTTTATTATTAGCTCTACAGAAATGCTGTGCAAAAGCATTCGCTACAGAAGAATCTGAAGGAAGTTGTTTATCTTTAATTATGAAGGTCTGTTTAGGTAAGCCAGCAGGATCATTCATTAGGTTGCCTACAAATTTAAACGTTCTTTTACTATCAGTTTTGTGGTTTTTTAACCAACTGATAGAAAAGAACGTTTAAATTTAGGCAACCTATGAATGATCCTGCTGGCTTACTAAAGACCTCATAATTAAAGATAAACAACTTCCTTCAGATTCTTGTGCGAATGCTTTGCACAGCATTCGTAGAGCTAATAATAAAACCCTTATGCAAAATACATCCCCCAGAATTAAGCAAAAAAACTACACTCCATCGGAATTTGATCTTCTACTGATTCAGTTTTTGAGGCGCCCATTACGAGACGAATTGCACTATGCTTTAAAAAGCCTCCTTGTTGAAAATCACGGTGGAGATAGAATCCATTCTGAGTTTCTCCCCCATCTTGATCCTAAAGCATTTGAGACTGTTTGGATCTTTTTCAATCTAATTTGGAACAATGGTATTGTACCAGCTGAATGGCGAACTTCTATCATTATGCCCATACATAAGAAAGACAAATTCGGGATAGTCTCCGTAACTATAGACCAATATTGCTTACTAGTATTAAGGAGAAGGCTATAGAGAAAATAATTGTGAGAAGACTTAATTATTACTTGCGGACTTCTTGCCAAGTAGCAGGCGGAATTTAGAA